CAGATGGTCAACTCCAATTCGGATTTCGACACAAAACGGATTGGGAACTCCAACGCATTTGGTCTCATGAACTTCAAGAATGGGAAATACCGACTTGCATCCGAACAATTGAACGCATACTTCCTCACCAATTATAAATTTCTGAAGAAAGAAGAGATCGACGAGCTCGCGCATAGTGAAACTGAAGCCATCGAGGCCCTCCATGAGACTTTACACCATCTTCGAGATTCCCAAGTGGCCATCGAAAGTATTCAGTTTCGGTTACGTCACCCCGCACTCTCACGAACGGAACGTGAGGACCTTGAGGAGCAGTTGAAATGTACAAACGCCTCATTGAGATCCCGTCAGGAGTTGTTTAATACCCTCCTTCAAGATGTTGCATTTGTTACTGCGTTTGTCAAGCATCATAGGTAAGTATTTCATTTAAAGAATTGCATGATCATCTCCAATCTGGTCATCGTTGGTCATATTCAACTCGATTTGTTTTTAGGGACATCCTCGTCAAACATCAACTATCTCCTTCAACGTAGGGATATCCAACACCATATATCAAAAATACATCTTAATCCTTACTTATGCCTTATCTTTAAGAGTTAGTTTGCGCGCAAAGATCAAAGATCTGTTTGTAGGTGGAGAATTGGTTTTGGTGTTTAGTTGGTTGAGTTGTTTGATCATTGGGTTGTTGGCTGTCTAAATCGAGTTACTAGAACATACGCACTACTACATAGTGGTTTTGGCAAGGGGAATTCTGGATATATGTATTTCAGATTGTTTCTTTCTCTTGACGTGTTTTTTAAACTCCTTTCCTGTCGAATAGAATCAGGATTATAAATCACTGGCTTTCTGTTTTTTGCGCTTTCACTCCTGATAACACTACTGTGATTGTTTTTCTTCATTATTGTCTCCTCTCTGACGCTCTCGAAGCGAGTTACACATGGAACCACCGTATTCATAGTGCTAATTATAACTCTGCCCCCATCTGTTTATAAGAAAGGTTCAATCATAAGCTTAAGGGCATTTCGTATCTCATTGAAACACCTCACTTCTGAACAGGTGCAAAAACCATCAATACAAACTACAGATAACATGACGTGGTTGTGAGAGCAACAGTACTTAGACTTATTCTAGTCAAGCAGTGCAATTAAGACATTTTGTAATTATCAAGACACAAACAATTTGAAGCCATCAATATATATCAGCAATTCTGTCAGGAAACGGCTATTTATTGTATCTTGACAGAATTTCTAAAAGGAAGAACTTCACACCCATCTTCTTGCCTCCTCTTGGCTTAAGCTTCCCTGATGTTGCAAGTATAGCTCGCTGCACTACAAATATTGTTGATTAATACCTGAGCAAATCTCTCGAAGTATGCTCATTGTCACCAGAGTGAACACTCAAAAACAATTTCAATTCCATAAAGTTTAACGCACAACATATAAATTCAAGTTCATGATCAAGTACCAAATCTTCAGAAACAATTCCAATTTCATAAAGTTTAACACAAAACATATAAATTTAGATTTATAATCAAGTACAATATACATCATATGTTTCACAAACTACCTAAGCTAGACTCCACTCCATCCATGCTCCTCTCTGATCCTTGTTCATCATCATTTTCTTCCAGTAAGCCTAGCAGTACTTTCCCATGCGCTTCAACATCGCCAGTTGCTTTGTTCAACGCTGAGCGGAATCTTCCAACTTCTGTTCATAATTTTTCATACGAGTTTCCGTGACTTCTTTGAAGGATTTTATGTGCTTTCGAGTGTCAGCTTCCACCCAAGCGATGCGCTCTCGAACCACTTGAATGCCCTCGTCAACAATTGCCACACGTTCTTGAAGCTCCTGAAGAGAATCGATTTTTTTCTCCATAGAATCCATACGTTCTTCAAGTGTAGACACTATTATATAAAGATTACTAATTTTCAGCCCAAAAAAGATCAAAATATACTTATATGAAAATATATTGACTTGCATTGAAGAGATCTACGTCTCTCATCCTGGAATACATTGACACCTGTCCTCTTTAAGTTATGGTTGGACGAGTTTGCGTCACTCTCATTGTTTGAAATCGCCGTGCTAGAATTCGAAGTGATCTGAAGACTCTGAGAATCTGGCACAATTGGTGAAATGTCTCAACCATCCACTAACCAGAGATTAAATGTCAGAGAGACCAAGAAATTGATGATGACACTGAGGGCACACACCAATGTTTTCAAGCTCAAATAAATCCAGATCTGGAAAGGATATAAGATCATTGTCGTAAGTGCTGAGACCTGCTTGTTCAAGCAGTGTGGTGTCCTCGGGAGTCAAGGACACAAGCGGTTCTTGCTGCGATTCTTGCTTGGTGATGTGAGTAGCGGAGTTTAAAGGAATGATTGAAGGAACAATCGACGAATTTGCCTTCCTTTGAGGAACAGCGTCCGGTTTTTGAAGGTTGTGGAATGGCTTTAGGTCTTCTAGCTTCGAAATGCCATTACTAGGACAACGTTCTAAAGAATTCAAATGAAAGGGTTGAAGCTTTTCCTCCTTGAGCACCTCCACAGACAAATAATCATCCTATCTCTTAGTACATATTCACATAAATGGAAGGATGGAGGGAATCAAATGGTTGAAATTTGACAAACCGTGGGTTGAGGACCAGGAGCTTTTGGGCTGGGTAAGCCTTCGTATCGAACACTCTGAGAACAATTAAAGAAGACCCACACATTAATAAGTGTATATATGTCAGATAATACAAACCTTGTATTTCAAGATCTTGGTCTAGAAGACACTCACCTTTTTTTTTACCTTTCCATCAGTTCTAATAACGCCTTGATCTAGGGCTTCAGGTTCAGGTAATTTTGAGCGAAGCGTACTTTTCGACAAGGAAGATTTGCCCGATACTACCCTCTTTTTTGGGGGGACGGGGTTCCCAGGCGATGAACTCCGTTTCATTCTGAGGACACCTCCTTTTTCTTTCACTTTGGATTCCGAGTGAAAAAAGAGAGTACACCGTGATCAAATAGGCGCCCTGAATGGATAGATACAAAGGCGTAGACAGACCGTTTGTTGGAGCGGACAATTCCGGCTGGTGTGAGTTTGCTGATGCTGTAGAATGACAGTCCAGACTCAGAGGCTCTTCGCTGAATGGGTCAGGAAAGACTATAATAAAGAAAGAAGTCTTGGGTTAATGATGATCAAGATGATATATATATGCGCGCATGGAGATAAGAGTACCAAGGTGGCTGGGAATATATATAATTGAGAGAATAAGAAGAGAAAAACAGAGGTATATGAAATGAGAGGAGTATAGAAGTAACTTACGGTCGGGTTGCGCCTCTCGCACCTTCTGGGCTACTTCGTTCTTGTGTGCGTTTTTCCTGATGGGTGTCATAGCCCGATTGATAAGCATCCAGTCGAGCATGGCCTGCTTGCCGACTCCAGGAATGTTCGGGTCAAATCTATATGAGTGATCTGGTATCATTATGGTTAGTTTTGGATGACCGGAGGGTTTGATCATGAATCAAACCTCTAATATAGAGTTACAAGAAAATCTTATAGGAGTATTAGTTCGAACCGAAGGCCATGTCATCATACATAAGTTATCTCCGTATCCCAGTACATCCTACAATATATGTTGAAGTGACTT